ACTGTTGTTTTGACAGTCTCCTATTCTTTAAGAGGCCTTCCTAGGAAGATTCTAGGAACTTGTTTTTTTGATATGTTCATCAATGTTTTTGGGACTGTGTGTCAAATGAAAACCAGCTTGCCTGCCGCTTGAACAGATGCTCACAAGCAGAAGACGTGAAGGTGAGATGAAAGATGAGAACGTGATGAGTGAATGCATGTAAATGATCCCCCTTGGAATTTCCATTAAAAAATGCAACAGCCCGGGTTGTCGCAAAAAAACGTTTTTTTTTTAAATGCAAAAACAGATGATTTTTCCACATGGCTAACCCGGAGTCCCCATTTTTTGCAAAGGCTTCCTAGGTCATGATTTTTTAGAGAGAGCATTTTGAGGGGCAATAGACAAGCTCTTTGAATTTTTGCGATTTGCTAAAACTGCTGTTGTGCGCCGGCCATCGTTTGTATCGCAGATGAGCCAAACAAGTTTCAACATTGACAACACATTTTAACTGATTTTTCAACAAGGACATTCTTCAGGGACGCCGGACTATTGCACATTTATGAGCGTTTGAAAACAGAGCGTTTGAAAATCATATGGTGTTATCCCTCTTGGAATTTTCCCTGGCTAAAACATAAGTCAGCCCGGGTTATCAGTTCCCCCTTGATTCTTTAGAGATTTAATTTGGAACCCTAAGTTGAGTTTGTCAATGTTTCAAGTGCTGGCCAAAACATGGCTCAATAAACGCAACCAAACTGACACTAGATATGATAAAAGCAGCAAATTGCATATATTGATTTATACAAATAAATATGTTTATCGTTTTGCAGGGTATAGCTCTACAGAATCAGACACCAGCTCGAACCCAGTCCAGTTCTCATATCCAGACGTCCCCGGAAATCCCCAAGATCCCCAGGCATAACACCAATTGTCTCTAGAAGATCCATCGAAACCCACTGTGTCCGGAGGTAGGACCTTATTTTTCAATGGCACCTTCCCAAAAAATACCCCAAACTGTGAAAAACTGCCAGGTTTTGCAGGGCCGACACGCCCTGAGCCTCTAAAGAATCAAAACACCAGCTCAGAAAAAACAGTGTTTTGGCAGGACCTGATTCTTTAAGGACACCCTTCCCTGTGTCGGGAGGCAGGACCTGATTCTTTAGTGGCACCTCCCCAACATATCCCAAGTTGTAGGGTCGACAGGCCTGAGCCTCTAAAGAATCAAAACACCAGCTCGAACCCAGTCCAGGTCTCATATCCAGACGTCCCCAGGAAATCCCCAAGATCCCCAGGCATAACACCAGTTGTCTTTAGAAGATCCATCAAAATTCATCGTGTCCGGAGGCAGGACTTCATTCTTTAATGGCACCCTCCACCAAAGAACCGGACACCCGGGTCAAAGACTGAATGCAAAGGGGGATATGTTGTTTACAATCAATTTTGATCAAACCAGAAAAATGAAACAAGAGGAGGCAGCCAAAGACAACGCTTTGGCAGAAGCTTCTGCCATGACAAAAACAGAAGCCGCTAATCTGGCATGGGCAAAAGAAGGGCAAATTTCATCTCCGGTGTGCAAAGGAATCATTTGGGTACGTTTGGTGTTTTTTATGTTTGTTGATGTCCACATGGCTAACATGGACGCCCTATTTTTTAGAGGTTTACTTTTGTATTTGTTTTTTTGTGTATTTTTTGTATTTGTTGTAGTTGGTTGCCTGGGCCATGATTTTTTAGATGGTCTTAGACCCCCTTGCATCCTAGGTAGGCATTCTTTGGATGTGCCATTTCAGTAGTGCAAGGTGGACCTCCGTTTTTTGTCTAAAGAATGCTGGAGTCCATGTGAGCAGGATAATTCCAAGGAGAATTGTGAATGCAAGAATTTGTGTTAAAACACCTTCCAGAGTTGAAGAATGTTAAAGATGTGCTTTCAAAATTCACCTAAAGATGCCTAATAAATTCTAATAATCCTAATATGGACACAAATAAATAAGTCTATATGTTCTCATATGATTGCATGCGCATCTTATTGATGATGCTTGACCGCGCCGTCGTCCATTCGACTGCAACTTGGGTATCCAATCCTTTAAAGGGGCACCCCTTCGTGTGCAACTTGGGTCTCCAATCCTTTAATGGGACATGTGTGGCTACTGTGTGCAATCTTGGTTCATTGGGGTTAGATTCTTTACGGCTAAAATTTGCTCCGGTTCGCATTCTTTAAGAGGCTAGTTGTGGCCTTAAAGATTCAGGGGTCAGGGTGAGGACCCGAATTGCAAGGGGGATATATAAATGAATAAAGGCATAAATGAATCATAAATGAAAAGATAAATATTTTTTTCTAAATAAAGAAACGCACAAATAAATATAAATATAAATGTAAACATAAATATAGATGTAAATATAGATAAACAAACAAATAAACACATTCATAAATAAATCAATAACTAAATAGATAACATAATTATATATATATATTATGCATTTAAATATGAATAAACAAACGGATGAAGAAATAAAATACAAATAAACAAACACAAATAAATCAGTCAATAAATACACAAACAAATCAAACACACACATACACACATACACACATATATATATATACATACATATATATGTACATAAATATGTATCTGAATAAACAAATTAAGTAAATAAATCAATCAATAAAGAAACACATAAATGTAGATGGGTAAGAGTCAACACCGCGGGGATGATCCGTTCCAAAAGGATGGCAACGGGTTCAGAACCCACCGTCACCTTGGCAAACGGACAGGCCAGCCTCTGCACTGGAAGATGGCACGGATGTGCCTCCAGAGTAGCTGGCCTGGACCTCGAGAAGCTGGTACAGTGCCATCAACGTTATCAGATGTCATATTTTCCAACATGAAGCAAAGCTGGATGCATGAAAGTGTATTCGCAGCACCGAACCCCACCAAGAGAGGCCATGTGAACATCATGGCTCCACCCTGGTCGTGTTTTACCCTGGTGGTGTTTCCAAGGTGTTTCCCAGTTGAGCTCAGGTGCCGAGTGCTGCAAAGTCAGCAACCGAAAGTGTTTGGAGTGTTGAGTTGCTCCGGAAACCTTGGAGGCCAAGGCCGGAATAGATGAAAAAACATACTGTAGGTCCTTTGGCTTTGATTTGACAACCATTGAAAGGAATCCTGAACATCGGATTCATGCTTTTGTTGTTGAAAATACTAGCAAACATGATTCAATTTCAATGACATCGTTTCCAGAGAACTCGCATTGGAGAAGGCAGTTGACAGCTGCCGCATGCAGCACTGCCCCAAGGGCACTGTGTGGTGTTCATAGCATGCAGAAAATGACCGATCAGCGATCCTCAGAGTGGGACCACCGTTTCTTAGGACACCTTGGCATTTTTTGGTCCCATGGATTTCTATCCTTCTCTTTGCATTTGATTTGCAGGAGTACCTCCAAGATCCTCGAAGTACTTTGTCCCGGGAAGTATTTTGTCCTATTCAGAGGATTGCACAATCAGAGCTGGGCCATGCAAACTCGGAGATGACAATCGGAAGCTGATGGTGTAACATTGCCCGTAGGAATCCCATGTAATATGAATCGTGAAATTTGGTGGCCCTGGCGCTCAGCTGCCAAAGACAACCATGTGACGCGAACGGCGATGGCAAAAAAAAGTGCGCCTAGACGACTGCAGTGGCACGGTCACGGAAGTCGCAGGGGCAGCCATCGTTGTGAGGCCGGTGAATGATGTCAAGGATGCCAGCAAGGAGAACTTGAAGACCCGGCTTTGCCGCAGCACAAGCAGGGGCCATCAGACAACCCAGGGATTCCCAGGGCAAATGGTTGTAGGGTCGGACTTGGATATAGGGTGGTAATGGGGCACAGCTGTGGCAACGTCACGGCCGTCTCTGAATGCTTCCAGGAGCCTTTGGCAAGTCCCAGATCACCCCTTGCTGAGTCTGGAGTTCCCGCAGGTGTGTGGTGTCATGAATCACGGGCCAATCGTAGCAATACAGATTGCTCACTGACAATCTGCTTAGGGTAGATGAATCCTTCTGACGATGGCAATTACAGCAAAAACTGCAGTGCACAAGCAGGACAGCTCGAATGAATGGCCAGGGCACTCACCAAAAAAAGAAGAACATGAGAGTTGGAAAGCCGAATCCCATACCGGCCTCCTGAGATAATGTTGCCATCTCCAACTTTCCAGCTGCCAGGGATGCACAACCGACTCGGCAGGATTGCTATTGCCAGTAACCCAGATAGCACCTGCAGTTCATCCAGCCCAGCCATGCAACGCCTAGGTGAACACCCTGGATGTGGCGACCTCCGAGGTCATCTCCTCAGCTTCCCTCGGGACCGGGGATCTAGGAACCTGGGGATTGGTTGAGGTGGAGATCCTTCCGGCCAAGACCTCAAAAGGTCATGCTGTACGACTCTATGTGGAGGATGGTTGCGATGGTTGCGGCTGGCTGCACATTTTCATCGCTAGGGCTAGGGCATCAAGTTCACGACGTCCTTAGCTCCTGACCAACAGATGTTGCTCAACTTTCTTTCCCTGCCTCAAATTTTGCTGACAACATCAAGATGCATCAAGTATTGAAGTAGAGGCAGGAGACACCCCATATCGACTCATCACCGATGATCTTATCATCGACAGCTGCCAGGGTTCTTGGCCTAGGCAGCCACGCGCCGGTCGGATGATTGTCTACATGGCATTGAAGAGCTGTGACCTCAGTAGCTGGGATGTGAGGCTTGGGGTCAGATGGGGTCAGATGGGGTCAGCATCAGCCACTTGGCAGGAGCCGTGTGACCCCGCGACGCTTCAGCCTGCCCTCTCAGAGGGCGGTGAGCCTGGTCCTGAGGGTTTGGGTTTGAGGTCTTGTCTTAAAGCTTGAGTTTGCGTGGGAGGTGGGCAGGTTGTGGACAGCAGGGGTGCAGCCTGGGGTGGACAACCCGCAGCCACTTCACTTCAAGCTGTGTCTCAACAGACCAGAAGCTGGCTCAGGGACCTTTCTGGTGTCCTTCCCGCCCACTCGGTGCTGATGCCTCCCAAGTGGGTCATCAAGGAGGCCGAAGTAGCCAGTCCGCAAGATGAGAAGCTCATTCTGCGCATGAGTCAACAGGGCATGTCGGTTGAGGCGATCTCAAAGGTGCTCCAAATCAAAGGGGACACAGTTGTGCAAATACTGCAACAAGGTGCGTCAGTTGTGCAAATACTGCAGCAAGGCGCGTCTGCCAAGGACAGTATTTGGAGCACATCAGCAACTGATGAGAAGAACTTAATGTCAGAGGTAAAGGAACTGCTGAGGTATCCTGAGGAGTTGTGCTGTCCAATCTCTCGGGAACTCATGGAGGATCCAGTGATTGCTGAAGATGGCCGCACCTATGAGAGGTCCTTGATAAAGCGCAGCTTGGAAGTCAAGCAAGAGAGTCCACTGACGAAACAGCCAATCCAGAGCCTTGCCCTGTATCCCAATCAGGATAAGAAGTCGGCTGTAGTTGAATATAAGGAGGCGGTGGTCCAAAAAGTAATCTCCATGAAACACAAATTGCTGAGCAGCGCCAGCAACGATGAAGCCTTGAAATTGTTGGACAAGGCAGAGCTATTTGTGCGCCCCCTTTTGCCGGATACATCGGCTCGTAGGAAACTTTTGGTGCTGCTGTTGGTCCGGGTGAAGTTGCTTGGTTCCAGCAGAGATGCGGTCATCTTCGAGACTGCTGTCCTGCTCTTTGAAATCGAGGGTGCAAATCATGTTCGAGGCTTTTTGAGCGAGATTCAAGAGCATGAAGTTCGGTGCTTGCTCGAGAAGCTGGAAGATGACATGGTCACTAGATTGCGAGACACCAACGTGAACCTATACGAGCACAAAGACGCCATTGACTTGGAGCTTGCTCGCAGGCTTGCAAGGCGCGCTAGGTATGTCGGAAATGATGCGCCACTAGAAGAACTGTGGGTGTTGATGCTTCAACATGCCTACGAGGAGCCTTGGGCGAAAGCTGCAGCTGTGCTGCTTGTATCCTGTATTCAAAGGCTGGATGTGAACCTGCAGATGGTTGGGGACCAGTTGCTCAATTATGGCTACAGATATTTGTATAGCAGGGACGTTGCAGAAAGCACTGCCAAAGACTTTTTCAAGCATGATATGTGCATTCCAGCAGCTCCAACTTGGCCACCCAAAGAATGCGCATCAATCGTCATGGAGCTGGCGATGCGCGCCTCTGATGACAATCTTCGGAGAATCCTCCTGCTGGAAGAAGCCTACAAAATGAACCCCGCGAATCGACATCTCAGGGCAGACATTTTGAAGCACCTTCATCAACTTTTGCTCGCTTGTAGCGAGGCCACTGTCGTTTGTGAGCGATTGTTTCTCAAACTCATTTGCGTAGACAAGCAGGAAATCCCAGAAAACCTGATTCCAAAACTGACCTTGTCAAATGACCAGCTCCAAGAACTGTCTGCTGATGAACTTCTCTTTCTCGGAGAGCAGATTGGCATAAAGAGGCAGGCGGATGGATCCCGACTTGTTGTCAAAGCAGCAGAATTATTCTCGACTATGGGATCAGAGGAAAGATCCCAAGAGGCTTTTCTCCGGGCCTTTTCGTTGGATCCCCACAATGCTTATGCTTCAGATGGTCTCATACAGCTTGTAGTGGCAATGAAATGCAAGAACAAAACTCTAGAGGAAATGAAACAAAAGAACAAAACCCTAGAGGAAAAGTGCGCACTCCTGGAGGAAAAGAGCTGCCAGATGTCATTTACATGGGATTTATCTGACTGTGATTTCACTGCCTTTAAAGCGGGTGAGAAGCATACCAGCAACCCATTGCCGCTCTCCCAGTTGGGCATCAACGTTTGGCTAACACTATACCCTTTCGGAGAGACAGGGGCGCTTGCTTCGCTTGCTGGGAAAGCATCCTTGCATCTGGACTTGGAGACTGGTGCTGGTGGCAATAAATGTAGTGTGAGAGGACTGATCAGAGGTGGGAATCAGACTCAAATTGCTTTTGTGCTTGGCGGACAGGGATTGAACACTTGGGTTCGGCGAAACTTTATGGACACTTCAGATATTTTGCTGAAGAAGAGTGCGTGGATAACTATAGATATAGCGTTCATCCAGCTTCCGACCCTGCCGCTAGGGCATGCCCAACAGAGGTAGCCATAGGCAGCAGATTTCGTAGAGTCCACATTGTCTGGATTTTTGAATCGAGCTTAAGTTAAGCTTAAGATTGAGATGCGGACGTTGGAGAAAAGAAATCATGCAGAACTGCAGTGGAACGGAGACTATGCCAACGAGCACGTATCATTTCCTGCTACCAGCTGAGGTAGGCAGAAGATTTCAACGAGCTCCGGAGGAGGCGTGATGGTCTCATCATGTTGTGGTACTCAGTTGCCCCCAAAAATGCATTTGAACATAATTGAACATTTTAATAAAGATCACACCCCTGTTACTGTACTTGGAAGCGACTTAGCTGGCAATATTGGCAGCTCGTTTGAACATGAGACCATTGGCGGCGCGAATATGATGACCGGCAGACGTGCAAAAAATTGCTCTAGTAGCAGACGCAGAACCCCCTGCAACCCCTTGACATCCAGACCTGTGTCAGGAGCTACAAGCTGCCAGACCCCGCTGGAATCTCAGGGCTGCTGGTTTTTGGCAATCCGAGGTGATTAGTGTAATAGTAATATCATGTAATATCCAGCTATCCTACTGGTGTTTGATGGTGATGGAGAGTAATATCATGCCTATACCAATAAATCATAATAAATCTAGCGTGATAAAGGACAGACTGCCACAAACAATGGGGGTTGAACCATGACATACCATTACCCAAGGCGGCCGAAGGTGAAAGCAACCAACGGCAGCGAGGGCCTCATTTTTTGTTCCTCAGCACATCATGGCTTCGTGGTGCTGCGCTTTCCGAGACATGGACCTGAAACTGGAGCTGGCCGGGTTGAGGTCGGGGATTTCCTGGGGAGGGCTAATTATTTTAGGATTTTTTTTTGATCAGGTTTAGGAATTATTTTTGGATTCCTGCTTCTGTGCTTTTCCTGCTTTTCCTGCTTTTCCTGCTTCTCTGCTTTTCCTGCTTTTCCTGCTTTTCCTGCTTCTCTGCTTTCCTGCTTTTCCTGCTTTTCCTGCTTCTCTGCTTTTCTGCTTTTTTGCTTTTCTGCTTCTCCTGCTTCTCTGCTTCTCTGCTTTTCTGCTTTTTTGCTTTTCTGCTTCTCCTGCTTCTCTGCTTCTCTGCTTTTTTGCTTTTCTGTTTTTCCTGTTTCTTTGCTTCTCTGCTTTTCCTGCTTTTCCTGCTTCTCTGCTTTTCTGCTTTTCCTGCTTCTTTGCCTTTCTGCTGTTTTGCTTTCGTGCGTTTCCTGTTTCTTTGCTTCTCTGCTTTTTTGCTTCTGCTTTTTTTTTTTGCTTTGCCTGCTTTAAATACTTGATTTTCATGTAAGATGCATTTTGCACAGTATTTACATCCCTGAGTATCACATGACCAACCTTCTCTTGAAAACTAGCAACGTAACATGTGAGAAGAGGTGCTTGCATTCTGCTTTGGGGGGAGGCGCTGCGCCCTCCCCAATCCCCCCCTCCCGCTTTTTTTTATTTAAACTTTAACCCAAGTTACATTAGTTGGTTTTTGCGAACTAACCTTCTCTGGAAAGCTGACAGGATTACATGTGATAGATAGATAGATAGATAGATAGATAGATAGATAGACAGACAGACAGACAGACAGACAGATAGATAGATAGATAGATAGATAGACAGACAGACAGACAGACAGATAGATAGATAGATAGATAGATAGCTGATAGATAGCTGATAGATAGCTTGGTAGATAGATAGCTAGATAGATAGATAGCCAGCTAGATAGATAGATAGCTAGAGTGATAGATAGCTAGATACCTCGATAGATAGATGGCTAGATAGATAGCTAGATAGATAGATGGCTAGATAGATAGCTAGATAGATAGCTAGCTAGATAGATAAAGAGGTAGCTAGATAGATAGCTAGGTAGCTAGATAGATAGATAGATAGATAGATAGATAGCTAAATAGATAGGTAGATAGTTAGCTAGATAGATAGATAGATAGCTAGATAGATAGCTCGATAGCTAGATAGCTGGATAGACAGCTGGATGGCTAGATAGATAGATAGCTAGATAGATAGAAAGCTAGATAGCTAGATAGCTAGATAGATAGTTAGCTAGATAGCTCGATAGCTAGATAGCTGGATAGACAGCTGGATGGCTAGATAGATAGATAGCTAGATAGATAGAAAGCTAGATAGCTAGATAGCTAGATAGATAGTTAGCTAGATAGCTAGGTAGGTAGATAGATAGCTAGCAAGATAGCTAGCTAGATAGGTAGATAGATAGCTAGATAGATAGATAGCTTGCTAGATAGATAGCTAGCTTGCTAGATAAATAGCTAGCTAGATAGCTAGATAGCTAGCTAGCTGGATAGATAGCTAGCGCCCTCCCTCAATCCCCCCACCCGCTTTTTATCTAATCCCAAGCTTGCGCATCTGTAAATATTTGGGTGAACATGCTCACATGTAGAACATCCCATGCAAAATGGAAGGTGAACATGCCAAAATGTGGCAAATACCATACAAAATGGAAGGTGAATATGCCCACATGTAGGAAATCCCATGCAAAATGGAAGGTGAACATGCCAAAATGTGGCAAATACCATACAAAATGGAAGGTGAACATGCCCACATGTAGTAAATCCCATGCAAAATGGAAGGTGAACATGCCCAAATGTGGCAAATACCAAGCAAAATGACAAATTCAAGTTCCAAACCGTTGCAAACACTAGGCAAATGGTACCAGCCAAGAAATCCAAAAAAAAATCCCAAACCTGCTCAAAAAAAAATTCTAAAACTATTTCACACCCATTTCCTGGTCCCCTGCTTGGGGTTGGGTGATGTTGGTGAGGGAAGCGTGCATGATATCTATGGAATATCGCAAGTTGACCCATTAGTCATGAATAACAATGGTGGGGCGGCGGGGGAGTTCTGAACCCTTCAAGAGCATGGAGGAGTTCTTTCTCCAAGATGTTTTTTTTTTTCCGCATTCTTTATGCTTTTACATCATCATCTTAGGCCTTAGTACGTCGAATCATTGTTTGCTTTGGCAGGCGTGCGCGAGCTGCAAGTTCTGGCTTCAGTGCGGAAAGCTTAGCATGACCGATCCTGTGCCAATCAAAGGTTGAGGAGAGAAGGTGATTGCATAGATGTTTGGCAATGGGGCGTCTCAAGATCAGGAACCCTCTGACACATGGATTGAAGAACACATTTGTCCATGACTCCGTACTGTGGGGGGAGTGTGGGATGTGGACGGAATAGAAGTACAGTCAGTCTCGCAGGCTCGACGCAAGCCCCAGCGTTGGCAAGTCTGAGTTTTGTCCAGTGAGCAGTGTCAAATGACCCAAGCTAGCAATGAGATCATGTGGGTGCTTTACATTCCCATACCATTTGAACAAACATGAACAAAACAGAATTTACTGAGCAGCGCTGTAGCTAAGAGTCCACCAGTATATTTGACACTGAATGTACTTTCTTGCGAGCACGTATTTCGGTCAATGTTTTTGTGGCTAGTCGGCAAAGCCACAGCCAGTGACTTTAGGGCCTACAGGTGTGTGATTTGGGAGTAGCCCGCAAACCATCTATGTCTATGTCCATTATATATATTATATATATATATTATAATTATATATATATAGTTATATATACATATAATTATATATAATATATATATATATACAATATATATATATACATGTATAGATAGATCTTATTATAGATATTATTCTACAAGCAACACTTGTCACGGCAGAGCATTCCTTTGGTTCGCGACCTCTCGCCTCCGCACTTACCGGAACGACACGCCTCAAAGAGAAGGTGCAATAAGCATTGCTTTTGAGCAAAATAGCGGCCTTTGAGGTTCATACCTCAAAAGCAACAGAAAGTTCATGCAGCAATACATAATCATTGGATATTATGGGTACTTCTGAGGTTTTTCGTTCACTGTGATACTTGATCACCTTCAAGACCTGAGACTGGTAGTAGGGAGTGTAACGAAAAATGGGGCTTAGATTCTTTAAAGAGAATGGCATGATTGCTTGTAATTTGACTAATTTGACCTGTACATCATGCGTGCTCTGCTAGGGCACACATTTCATTTGCCTCGCCTCTTTGGTCCTCAGCACAAGGTGCTTGCAAAACTTGTACGTCTTGTTTAGTATCTTGTTTCTATTTGTTTCTTAATGTTTCTCACACTGTGCGGCTTACACTCTTCCAATGTGCAGACCTCGGAAGCGAAACCAGAGTCCAACCATGAAGCAACAGCAGGTTACAGTCACATTGAAGCTACTAGCAGACTAGCAGGTCACTGGCACATGCGCAGCAACCAGAACATTGCAGAAACTTTCCGGGTTTCACACAGAATCTGGGCACAGTGTTTGGCAGAGCTGTCCCCGTCGGAATCCAGTGTCTGCCTCAGCCGCAGAACCAAGGTCTGAACATTTCGTTCGCACATGGCAATCCATGGCACTTCATCAGTTCATGGAGGTAGCATGCATAGTGCCGGCAATAGCCACATGCAATAGCCAGACAATGCCAGACACGATTCGATAGAGGCTTGCATTGAGATCCCATTGGATATCAGTGATAGTTCGGGCCGTTCGGCTAAGGCTGGCTGTGGCTTGAGGACCACCTCGCAATGGCCATGGAGTACTCGGACAAGCTCACGTTTGTAAGCCCAGCGGTGTAGTGCTATTCAGACTCAGGGAATGAAGATGGACACATCATACAACGACCAAATTTGCCAAACATCAAACATCCCAGCAAAAATAAGAGTCATGAAGATGGAGACAGGTGGAGACAGGTGGATTCACAGCTTGACCATGGAGCTAGCTCGGCTGATGTCTGCCATGATGGATTTAGGCCTCGCAGTGCATCTCAGACTCTTCAAGACTACCAGGCGCAGTCAGATTGTGTGCCGATGTTGCTGATGCAAATCTGATACAGTTTGGCACAATTTTGCAATCTCTAAGTCATGCTGTTGGGAGTTTGAGATCCACGGGTTTGTGGCCGTTCCCGTGATGATTTTGAAGCGCATGAGTGTGTTCTCAGTACGGCCAACGGGGCTCTTCTGAGCGAAGTTTCTCAGTTGCGGAATCTGGCAGGACAACCATCAGATCGAGCTGTTCATGCAGGACAGATGACGCCGCAACATGCTGAAACTTTGCTCGGATCGATTGATGCACACCATGTTGCCAGGAAATGCTGAGTGTTGTATGCACGCTCCTCCCAGAAGACCCCTATGAGTACATGATGAATCATGTTGTGTCGGGAGGCTCGGAAATTGCAGTGTGCGACTGGCAAAACAGACCGTGCCCCCACCACCATGGCAACCATGGTTTTATTCGTGGTATTTCGTGGTTCTCCCGATGACATCTCGCAACCACCGGTGCCACCGGCATCTCCAAATATCTCCAAGGTCAAATCGCCCGGCACCACCACCAGCAGAGAGCCAGCTGTGTGGCAGTGGTGCACTATGGGTCCTTCTGCGAGATGGAGATCCACAGAGTGCCTCGGCCGTTGTGTGACCTGAACAATACCTGCCCTTGTGGCTCTGCGTGGTTGTGATTTGCACATCACTGAGGTGCTGAACATTGGCGTTTGCGACGCTGCTGGCTGACAGGAAAAGGAAGCTTCTGCATCAGCACGGAGCCAGCAAGTGTCACGAGAGAAGGTGATAAAGTCAAGATGAAGGCGCCCAGAAACACAGCCTCGGCCACTCATCCCATTGAAGTGGGTGGCTCCTTTCGTGAACTGGATGACTCAGAAGCTGCCCGACCCTTCGCGTTTACGTTGGTCACTGGTGGGAAGGAGTTGTTTTTGGCTGCTGGCTCTGAGGAACAGAGGGACGAATGGTTCAACCTCTTGGGGCACTTTGCAGATGCAGACCGCAGGAAAGGGCCACTCCCCAAGAGCAGCATTGTCTCCCCGCGCAGTGGTGGAACGCAGGTGGTGGATGCCATTGGTCTAACTGACATCCCCATGCGGCCCACCGTGAAAGATCCAGTGAAAGTTCAGCCCAGCCAGGGCACCCGTGACCCGGCAAAGACCTTGAAGCCGATCTTGAAGACCAGGCCATCACAGATGGAGTCAGGAAAGGTCCCTGCGATTCGAATTCCGAGACGTTTGCCCAATGATCCCATGGAGGCCTGTGGAGATAGCACCCGCAGAAGCTCCATCCGTTTCAATGACGATGTCGAGAGACGTGAGTTCCAGGTTTCTCGGGCAGATCCGGTTCCTGCCAACATGCGAGCGCATGAGAGTCGGAAGAAACCTTCTCTTGGGACTGTGAAAGCCAGGACAGGGGATGGTCAGGAAGTGGTGGTGAGACCAAAACCCAAAGGGCCTCCAAGTCCAAAGGGAGACGAAGCGCAGACGGTTCTCGCGTCACCTCACAGTGAGATACTGGAAGGTTTCTTGGACTATCTTGGACTCAACGAAATCATGGGGGCATCACTGGGGCCCTGTTTTGATGTTTCTATAGGACTTTTATAAGACTAGTAGTATCGCTTTTGGATGCTGCTAGGATTGGTAGGGCGGATCTGGGATGATGCGGTTCAGCTATGGTGCTGCTTGAGCGTGTGATGTGATTGGTGCTTGCGCAGAACATGCCAAGGTGAAATCGGCAAGAACATCGTGAAGGATATGCTGAGAGAAGTTGCCAGCCCAAAACCAGACCGGGAAAGCGAAATCGCTGATGATCCCCTGTCGCCTGCAGGTTGGGCTATGTGTTGAATTCTGGTTGCGTAGATTCTGAGATGACTTGGCATACAAGGGCGTTCCAACATGTTCCAACCATCAGGCGGTTAGAGGGTTGGAGTCTTTGTCACCTGGGGCCAGGCGTTGCGGCTGCAAGTCTCGTGGATGATCTGATTGCAGAGACTCAAGGCCGTTTTTGGATTGCAAGAAGGGAACTGGTGCTTTGAAGTGGCCCCCCAATCTACGTTGAAGGCCTCACTACTGTAGCCAAAGCCCCAAGTGGAAACACGAGGAATTTACTGTAAGTAAGGGCTTTAGCTGCCCCACGTGTGCAAGAAGATCTGGTTGATGGCTTATCATACCAGCCCTACAGCCACGCGTCATGCAGCTCAGGAGAAAGCATTGTTCCCAGCGCACGGTCTTCTGCCACCCCTGGTGAAGCCATTGGCGAAATCGCAGCAGGTATGATTGATTCCATGATGTCACATGGCCAGCTTTGTAGATTTTGTAGTCAGCTCATGTCAGCTCTTACCGATGCACAGATGCAGGCAACAGATCAGACATATTATTCAGGCATCATTGATTGAACACTGGTAGAATAGTGAATGAATATGATTATGATTATATGATTTGAATATGATTTGATGGTATGCTCAGAAGATTCGCCTCATACTCGCACGCATTGTAGACAGTGACGTGAACATCTCTATGTCAGGTATTCACCCAGTGGGCGCACTTCTGCAACCTACAATTATCATCATGTTATATTATACACAATTATGCCATTGCAATGAATGACAATTAATTATGCACAATTTAGTTCAGTACATTTGCGATTCTTTGCACGCAGTTGGAATGATTGGAATGCACATCTATCACTATTTCTTGCACCTACAGCATCTCCAAACGCATGTGCCCAGGTTGGACCCCATCATTTCCATCATGGACGAACCTATGGATCCTGCCATGCTGCTCTTCGGTGAAACTCCAGCGGCTTGGATGCAGATAGATTTACCACTCTTGACTATTCCATCCTATTCCCTAAAACTGGAGAGACAATGAGAGACATATGAATAAACATGAATAAAAGCTAGGGTGAAGAGGTCAAGAAACATGGTGTAGTGAGGCTGCACCTGCATGTGTTCCGCTTGCAGGCCGACACACCAGCTCATGCAGATACTCTTCGCCTGCCGCCGGGCAACGAGTTTGTTGAGGGTTCCGGGAAGGAATGGCTGGCGGAGGAAATGAGAAAGATCGAAGAGTTACGCTGCTTGGCACCGAACAGTGAGTCTCTAGGAGTGTTGGGGGAATGCGAAACGATTAACATCCAAAGGTTGGAGTTGAAAGAACGGGTGGCCATGGCCATGGGTGGTCACTTAATGTTGCATACAAAACTGCGTCAAAGATGATCACCGGTGGTGGGTTTCCATGATTTTCCATATGATTCAGCCGTGTCGAGGTCATCAAGCCCAACAAGAGTTGGATGCTGCAGAGCGCAACCACCGAAGTGCTGAAGAGAAAGCCAAACAAGCGGGGGAACGCTGGAGAAACGACGAACTTCAGAAGTTGGAGCAACTGCGACTGCAGGCATCTTGGCTCAAAGATTTTCAGGAGGTAGAACCAACGCAGGCTCAATTCCAACGGGTGTCAACATGTTTGGTTCAAATTCTGTTTGTGGTCTTGTGAGGTTGTGATAGAAAAAGCCAGCGTTGAGGACACATGCTTTCGATGTCAATTGTATAGTTGCGTTTTGTTTGGTATGTCACACCCCAAATCAGGTGCTTGGGTGGTTTTGTTCCCATTCAAATCCATTTATATAACTCTTCTTTGTTATTCCCCATAATATCCGAATACTATCCAAATGATCATGGCGGATACGTACTAGAATATCGGATTCCGTTGATGCGTAGTTCGTCATTCCTGAAACTTCTATGAACTACAAAGAGCATGGTGGGCTCTTTCCATTTAATATCCACAGCATACATCATACGTGTGTGTATATATATATATATACACGTAATGATATATGATATGTATGATTATGATAATTACAAATGCAAATGGTACCTTCAGCTGACCCTTGGGAACTGATGGTAACTGTTGGTCTGGCATTCCCTCAGGCGCAGAGGGAACTGTCGGAGGCAGAACAGGCACAGCGTCGCACCCGCGAAGAGATCGAGAAGGCCGGTGAAGCCTGGCGTGCGGAACGGCTCAAGGACAATGGGTGCTCTGCCGCCTGGGAAAAGATGATCAGCTGGGGGGGGGTTGAGATCCGAATGTGAGGACACAAATGCTGAGAGAGAGAGAGAGAGAGAGTCAGGGGTAGGAGTTGAAATATCTTGAAATCAAGTGCTTCAAAACCTGAAATTCACAATTACCGGACCGTTTCGGGTGCGTTGGCTTGTTCTTGTGAGAAAAACTTGAGGCCGAAACCATGGACCCTGGAAGGACATTGAAGAATTGCGGCGCTTGGCACAAAAGCAACTGGATGAGGCGACCGGGGAGAATTGTCTTATTTGTCACAGCTTGGATAGACATATGTAGATTTTGCAAACATGTTTGATGACTTTACCATCGATACCTGCATATAAAGAATTAGATACTTGTATCTTGTATATCACATATAGAGTATATATATAATATATAGCGCAGTATGGTGCACACTTTGGAATCCCAAAGCCCACCATTTCATAGTGCTGGTTGGTGTATCACTCTTTAGCACAACATTTATAAAAGGAGATCTGAGAATTGATTTTAGGATTTCGTAGGTACAGCCATTGCCTTTGACTGCGAAAACTTTGGAGAAAATGTCGTGCCTGTAGGCGGACCTTGTACCTATTGTATTGCAAGTGTACCTGACAAGATTTCCCGAACCTTTGATAGACATTTGTTTGAGTACGGGTACTGGCATCATCACTACATATCACTACCATGTAGCAAGTGAAGGCTCCCAGCTTCGACAGGCGAAGGAGGTAGGTGAGTTGACTGCAGCTGAAGTGAAGAGGGCCGAAGAGCGGAGGGAACAAGTGCGAAAGGAATTGGAAGAAAAACGTAAAGCCTTGGATGCTCGGTGGCGAGCATATGAGGGTCTTGAAGGTGGCACCTTTGATGGTGGAAAGGTATGCTAGATAGGCAGGTGACGGTGCAATTGCAAGCTTAAGGTGGAGATTTATTGCTAGCAAAAACCTAGGTCTGAATTGGATCATTCAGATGATGTCATCTAGGAAAAACCAAGATGCAATCACTCTGGAAACCTGGAGACATGCGATATGCCGTCTGTCCAGTTTGATCCATGTTGAGAGCAAGGACGAAGAAGTTCTAGAAGAGATCCGAAGACAGGTGGGCTTTGGTTTGCAAGAATCTCCAGGATGTGCAGCTAGATGCAGCTAGGATCCTGAATTGCTCTACAGGGAAATCTATAGGAACCATCCGATTTTGATGAGAAAACGTAAGTTTATAGCTCCCCAAAGCAAAACAGCTGCTGATAGGAGGTGTTAAAGCGCAAATCCCATGTTCACATTACAGCAGTCGACCTGCCAGTCAGGAAGACGCCTATCACTGCATCTCTTCATGAAGTGATAGCCAGCCGCAAATTCCCTTTGAATCCCATAAATGTTAGTGTATCTCAGAATATGAGACCTCCATTGCCCCCCCAAATTCCATAATTTCCAGTCATTTTCCCCATTCAACAGGCTTCAACTATGGCATAATATGGCAATTCTGTGGGATATCGAGCCCAACTGACCACTGATCCGCAATTCTCTGATAGGCGCGGAGCGAGATGCAGGATTCCGAGGCAGCGCGCATCGCGCATGAACTGCAGGAGAGAGCGCAAAAGGAGATGCGCGATGCTGAGGACAGGGCAGTTGAGGGATTTTTTTTTTGGGGTGTAAAAAAAGTCAATGGCCTGCCAAGAATTGTAAAGATGTTTTTCTTGATGTTTGATAAAGATTTTGAACATTTGAAAGTTTTCATGACCCGTGCATCGAAATATTGATGATGAATCCCTTATTCTTGGTAGGGTCATTGGAGCGTCACCTATCACCAAGCCCTGTAGGAAGCGCAAAGAAAAGTCATTGAAGCTGCACAAAAAGCAGGGGATGAGTGGAAGGCAGAAGAGATGCGCAAAATTTCCGAGCTTCGAAAAGCGGCAACTTGTTTGCGTGCAGTTGCATTGAAGGCGACCCTTAAGTGGTTTGACATGTCTTGCTGAGCATTCATATAGTTTGCAGATGTTTTAAGTTGCTGTCTATGGTTCATTTCCAACACTTTAATGTTTTGCACCTGGTCTGACGCTTCAGTTTATTTTGTGATGCTTTATGACTTTATGAGTCAGAGGAGATTGCTTCACCAGAGTTTTGGCACTCCATCGTCTTCAGTTGTGTCAAGACAGTGAAATTTGTGCAACTACAGAAGCAGATTCAGCACGTATCTCTGGTGGGGGCATTGCCTACTGTTCCTGGATGTTCCTGGATTTGTCTTTAGTTTAGGGGATTGCCCAAGGCTGAGAAGGAGTTGGCCGAAGCCGAAGAAGCTCAGAAGAAGGCAGCGGAAGCTGCGCGACGAGCCGGAGAGGAGTGGAAGACCGAAGAGCTGCAAAAAGTTGAGGACGGGCGAAGAAAGGGGTGAAAACGTGCATGAACTGTGTAGAATGTGTAGAAGCTTCAGGCTTTCACCAGCATGATCACATATGATCACTGTCATTGTCCTGTAGTCTCCGCTTTTTCCTTGTTTTTGGGCATACGGCTTCGTAAGGCCCCGTGCATCTCACTATATCTCACTGCTCTAATACTCTATGGCATACTCTATGGCATACTCTATGGTGAAGGATGGTCCCTGCCCCATTCTCGTTGCAGGATCTCCGTAAGCAGGCGGAGAAAGAGCTGGCAGAGGCTGAGGAAGCTCAGCAGAAAGCCGCCAAAGCTGCAGCGCGTGCGGGTGAAGAGTGGCGATCCCCAGACCTCCAGCGGTTAGAAGAGCAGCTCCAACAAGCTCAGAAGGCGCGGTGCATACAAAATGGCCGTGAGATGTCACGAGTTGCCATGGAGATTGAGCAGAATGGTGTTCTTCTGCTCTTCTGGGTGTGCCTCTCCAAAAAGTATCAAAAAGTTATGTAAGTGCTAGCAATATGCATCATGTAAATTTGCCGAACAGTGTACGCTAAAACACTCTCTTTTTCGCTTAACGGTTGGTTTGACGATGGCGAGTACAACAATCTGCGGCCAGGACCTTGAAGTTGCGAAGCAAGTGGTTGAAGCTGCTCGGGGCAGCACTGCAGCGCCCGAGTCGGAAGAACTGGATGCGATCCGCGCCATCAGGCAGAAGGCAGAAAGGGAGTTAGAACTGGCGCAGGATGCCCATCGGAAAGCTCGAAGGTGTAAAAGACAGGCCCAGCAAGAGCTGGAGTCTGCCCGACTCCATGTGGCAAGGGAAAAGGTGGCGGAAGAAACCCGGAAAGCTGAAGAGCTTCGAATTCAAGCTGAGAAGATCAAAAAAGAGGCAGAAGAAGCTCATCGACAGGCTGAGGCAATGCGTCAAGAGGCCAGGCAAGACCTGGAAGCTGCCAGACGAGAAGTGCCTGACGTACCTCAACTACCCTTGGAGCAAAATCGAAGCACAATCATTGCAACCCAAGGCGATCAAGAGACATCCAGAAGCATGGGACGACTTTCGGCAACCCAAAGCGAGATTTATCGTGATGTTTTCAATGATGCTGCTGTGAGTCTGGTGGCGGACATCTTCTCAGAATCTATCACAGCAGCAGAGGAAGCAAAGAAGAAGGCAAGTGACAAAAGTCCTGGCAAATTAGCAACCCAAGCGGGCCAAGATATTGATAGATGCAGGAAAGGTCAACAACCAGGCATTCTTGAGTGAGGAAGGATTCTTTATGGCATTCTTTTGAAACCTGGACAGGACACTGCATAGGCATGGGTATCATGAGGGAACCATAGCTCATTGGTGGTTAATTGTCGTCCCGAAGACATGTGTGAGATTGTGTGAGGCAGCTGCTGAGAAATCTCGCCAACCTGTGCGGACTGACAAGGCCTGCTTGCCGTTGTGGGACAGATTGCTATCACTGTGAACGTTGGGAGCCGTGCCTGATTGCATGGTGATTGCAAATGCCATCCCATGCACCAGCCTTTCCAGGGAGATGATGCGGGGGGCTTATCCTTTCATGGCATTGGAGAACCTCAGCACTCTGCAACTTGTTCAACCAATGCAACCAAGGACTGGACAGTTATAAGTGTTCAAGATCCTCACCTGCAGATTTTGAAGCTTCTGTGCGGTCGAGTCTTGTGTTAAGAGCCAATGGTTCCATCATGAGTTGCATTTGCTTGAGCAATCTTTGGCATCAGAGAGACATTCCTGTTGTCCAATACCATCCCATATAGTCCCATACCCTTTCACGAAACTTCCAAGGCCACAAATTTCTCCGATGCCGTCGCAGAGAATCTTTCCAATGATGTGCTGCGTCGTATCATTGGTTCCAGTGTGGTTGGGATCTCAGGGATTTTTGGGATGGCCCGGATGGCCCGGATGTCGGCTGATTTCTTTTTCAGTTGGGCCTTCCTTTAGCCGCTTTAGCCGCTTTAGCCTTTGGCCATCCATGGCCATCCATGGCCATCCATGGCCATCAGCCATCAGGCAACGGAGGATGATGAGGATGCGACCGTGCGCAGACGGGCCAGAATGCAGGCTTGCAACATGCAACATGCTGCAACAACATCTTGCATCATCCTGCAATTTTCTGAAGCCATGTGAAAACCTTGAGTTCTGGAGATGTCATGTGGCAAGGTGTCCTAAAAAATTGGCACATCCATCAGAATCCTATATTATATTATATTACTAGACTACAATTTACTATAATGATTGTTCATGGGGAAGAAATCGGGATGGTTTTGGAACCAATGCTTTTGTGAACATTTCTGTGAACCATGTTTATGGATGTTTTTTTGGGTTACAGATCAGTGACATTCTGTGATCCAATCATGTCATGTTTACCCAGCCGCAGGCAGATCTGATCCAGGAAGAAGCCCGAAGGGCGGCGGCCAAAGAGGAGATCCACTGGGATCCCATGATTTTCCATGGCTTGCTGTATAAATATTCATTTGCACGGTGTAACAGTATATATATATACATATATATATATATGCACTAATACACATATTAATCACGGTGTATATATATATATACACGTATGTACATATAATATTAATATATGTCTACATAACTTGTCAATACACCATGATGGGCCAAAGGAACCCACCCTTGTTTCATAAGGAATGTGTCTCGTTACATCATATTATTTCAAATTATTTCCATGCAAGGATCATAAAATATCATAAATCATTGTATTTCCATGTATTTCCATACGATCAATTGGTCAAAAGCACCCATTGTTGGGGTGGGCCAGTGGTGTTCCAAATCTTTGCCAAGTCAAGGTGCCAAGTCCTTGCTCGCTAACTCTGCGGCCTGCACTGGCCGGAGTTTTTGTAGCAAAAAAAAGTTGGGACCTTCATATTCTAGTTGCATAATGTTGCATAGATATATATATATATAGATAAATTGGTTCCCCAGTCATCCCCAATTGGAGCAAAAAATGCAGGATCAGGATGCCTCCACAGCAATGGTGGAAGCTGACGAGTGGATTCGGGTTGCTGAGGACAGCCCATTGTTGCAGAATACCGTTGATGATGTTGATGACGGTACCAGTGTGTATCACTGTTGGGAGGATTTTGTGCTCCGGATGATTTCCATGCTTGATTTCCAATCTATAATATCTTAATTTCTCGTCAAATTTGATCCCTTAGAACAGCCACAAAGAGCAAGTTGAACAAAATTATACATCACCATTTCAAAGACTTAGGCACGTATAAAATAACGTATTAATACGTATTATATATTTGTCTTCTGGTGCTACTTGAGGCTTGCACTGAGAGAAGTGCAATGACTTCGTCACATGAACGTTCCATTGGTCCATGTTTCGCTCCTTCTGAGGGGGGGCACATGGGGGCACATGCTGAATCATGCTGACACGTTATTCCATGTTATTCCAGAATGCGGGTGCCAGGAAAACATGAGAAATGCATTGGAACTGGCGCAGAGAGCCCTACTTGTAGCCCAAGGAAAAGAGGCCGAAACTATCACGGACGCATAAGAACTTCTTCAGGTGGTAGGTGCTTAAAGATTTCCTTGTTGAAGTGGGTTGGCCATTGACCATACAACATTGCCTGCGGTTTTTGTTTTCCATTGTTTTCCGTTGCTTCTCTTGTTGCTGCTGGTGCTGCAGGAAGAAAATCTATAGTGGTAGAATAGGTATTACTCCAACACTGATGGGTTCTTTGATACTGCCGGTTTCTGTGATGTTGCCGTTGATGTTCACGATGCAGATCAAGATAACGGTGATGATGATGACGATGACGATGACGACGACGACGATGACGATGACGACGATGATGATGATGATGATGATGATGAGGAGGAGGAGGAGGAGGATACAGTTGGGGTGTCTCTTGCAGGTACCCAGCGAGCCAAGAGCATCAGACAGGATCTCAGAATTTCCCAGAAGTCTTCGCTCTTCAGTCATCCTGTAAGGCAGGAATGTACTTCCATGGTCATGTAATCTCAGTTTGCCTTTCTAAGGAGACAGGGAGTAAGGCCATGGCCCCTCGGCCGCAAGTTCCTGCCATGGAAAGGGTGAGATTCCCCAGCATAATTGTCCCATAGGTCCCATAGGTCCCATAGGTTCTGCGTTGCGTAGCTGCGGAATCAGGAGAGTCACGTGGCAGTTCAACGCGTCACCAACGACTTGCTGGGACAAATACTGGGTGCACATGCCCCGGCCTCAGCATGGTAATCTGACCACCAGGTAAAATTGCAAGATCTCTGCCGGCACATTTCGTGACAGATGTTCTCAGGCATTTCTACTCAGACTCTTCTTTGCTTTCAGGTGACCGGATCTGAAGCTTCTGACGCCATTGACATGACCGGCACTCAGCACTTGCAATCTTCGTACCTTCCACCCGCAGATCTAAGCTCACCTCAGGTCAGAGGTGGGTGCTCCCATGGAGGATTTGATGCTGCTGGTCTTTGACACCTTGGATTACAACAGCCTGAACCATCCCATTTTTATCGACCAGCTACTGTCCACCTTGCGCAGCCTGGGGCTGGCTGAGAAGCACGCCTCATCTCTGCAGATCAAGTTGAGCCCTGGCAGCGTGGTGGCTGAGATCTTTGGTCCTCCAGCTGTCAGGAAGCATTTGGAGGCAGTTCCGCTGCAGTATGTGGAGGTCATGGGCTGCTATGCCCGGAAGTTGCCGCGAGCCCCGCCAAGACCGAAGCAGAGTAGACCAGTGAGCAGCTTGTCAGATGCCACCGTGCTCTCGGCAGATTCCAGCCGACATATGGAAACTCAAGCCAATCAGCTGCTGAATATGTGGCTTGAGACGCCCAAGTCGGATGCTTTAACGACCAGGTCTGACATGGATACCATTGCAAACCAAATGGTGAGCCATTTTGTCGTTTGCTCCTCAGATGCTGATCCAAGATGTCAAGTCCAGTGATATCAAGTGCATGCACACTCTTCAAAACTTCTACATCACTTGTGGGATTTGGCCACATTATTTGGAGTGCCTTTCTTAAAATTTCCCACTTTTGCCAATTTTCCCAAGTGTTTAGCCCCAAAGCCTCCGCAGCCATTGAGGCGACTGGCCCTCAAGAATCTGCTCGGCAGGCCATTTTGGCAGCCAAAGCAAAGGCCAAACAGCACGAGGAGCTGGTGGAAGATGGTGGAAGCTGTGGAAATGCCGATGTCAGCAGTGTCAGCCGTTAGATGGTTTCCCTATGTTTCCCTTAGGACAACTTTGGCAGGTTACTGTAGGAAATGAGCTGATGAACAACCAATAATCCTTTGGTCTTTGGACACATTACACTTTCACAATCTTTTATGTCACTTTTGCATGGCACACAAACAGGAAGATGCGTTTGCATAATTTTGCCATGTCTTATATAACTGTCTTAACTGGATCTTGGACATGCTGCCATATGCTGCCAGAGTTTCAAGCTGCATCTTCATAGCGCCGCAGGAACCAGAGGTTGTTGAGGACTTCCATGAGGAACAAGTTCCAGCTGCCCAACAGGTGGCAGCTAGCACCACAGAGGCCCTGATCCGTGCTGCCCCTTTGCAGGCAGTGAAGCAAGATCTCGAGCCCGCAGTTGAGCCAGAGACACCCAGATCGGTGGCTCAAACTGATACTCATCAGTCAAATGTTCCCTATGTGATTCATGCCACTGACCTAGCCACCCATGCTGTGACGCGTGCCATGATCAGTGAATGCCCCACTTCGGTGGTGGTGTCAGAAGCTGGCTCGCCACATCCTGAGCATCAGCAGTTGGAGGGCTTCATCCAAGACACCATTGGCAGGTCCACTGAGGCAGCAGCTGCAGAAACGGAGATCATCCCAGAGGAAGGCGTTGTGCAGCCCTTTGTGTCAGAGTTGGCGCAAGACATGACACAGGAGGCAGTTGACAATTTGGACACCCAACCAACACAACCCACCCAACCGACCCAACCAACGCAACCCACGCCACCTGAGATTGAAGAGGCAGCTGCTGTGGGGGCTGGAGAAGAAGAAGCAGCAGCTGCTGCTGCGAAGGCGAAAGCTGCTGCAGATGTGATGGAACCACAAGTGACAGAGGTGGCAACAGCAGAGGGCGGAAAGGCAGAACCTGCAAAAGATGTACAGGAGCATGAAGAGGAACCCCAGGAACCTGGCACCCCTGTGTCAGTGGGTGCCACAAGCTACTCACTCCTGTGCGACTCCTATGCTGCAGACGCTGCAAATAGAACTTTGGAGAACGTCTTAGCTGCAGACATGGCTCAAGAAGAGCACGAGCAACAAGCGCAAGAAGCAGAAGATGTAGCCAAGCCAAAACAACAAGAGGAAGAGAGTCAGCCACAGGACCATGCAGGCCCTCCAGCCCCTGCGCTTCCAGTAGATGACACAGCAGATCATGTTCAACAACATGAAGCGGAGGAAGAAACACCTGTGTCAGTGGGTGTTGCCAGCCAATCGTTGGCGTGCATTTCTTATGCAGCTGACATTGCCACCAAGGCGGTGGACTATGCAATGGCCAGTGAGGAGGCAGCATCTGATGTCATGAGGCCTATCTCTGCAGCGATCACTGAGCCCGAGCCTGCAGAGCCCACAGAGCCTGCAGAGCACGCAGAGCATGCGGATGTGGCTCTGGAAGTTACTGAGGAGGTCTTCACCAATGTGCACGAACCCAGGGAGGTGGATCTTGCTTCACCTTCTGCCCCCGAGCGGCCTGAGCATCCCAGTGAGCCAGTGCAGCCGAGAGTTTTAGCTGATGATCGACGACCCAGCACTCCTGTGTCAGTTGGGGCTGCCAGCAACTCCCTCATGTGCGATTCCTATGCAGCTGACATTGCTCACAGAACCATGGATTATGCCTTAGCCCAAGATGTCGGCCAGCAAGGACAGGCTCAATCAGAGCAATTTGCTAGTGCAGCGGTAGCAACTCAAGAAGCTGTCATCAAACCGGCCGAGAAGCAAGCAGATGTTCCAGCCGTTCAACCAGCAGAGAAGCCAGCAGACGTTCCAGCCGTCCAACCAGCAGAGAAGCCAGCAGACGTTCCAGCCACTCAACCAGTAGAGAAGCCGGCAGACGTTCCAGCCGTCCAACCAGCAGAGAAGCCAGCAGACATTCCAGCCACTCAACCAGCAGAGAAGCCAGCAGACGTTCCAGCCACTCAACCAGCAGAGAAGCCGGCAGACATTCCAGCCACTCAACCAGCAGAGAAGCCCGCAGACGTTCCAGCCGTCCAACCAGCAGAGAAGCCAGCAGACGTTCCAACCGTTCAGCCAGCAGAGAAGCCAGCAGACATTCCAGCCGTTCAGCCAGCAGAGAAGCCCTCCAACGCACCAGCGGTCCAACCAGTTGAGAAACCATCGGATGTACCAGCTGTTGTTGAAGAAGTCAATGCTCGACCTGGTACGCCAGAGTCAGTTGGTGGCACCAGCAACTCAGTGGCATGTGACTCATACGCTGCAGACATTGCTCACAGGTCGCTGGACTATGCGCTGATTTCGGAGCAGAATCAGCAGAGAGCAAAGGAGCAAGAACCTGTTCAGCCCACACAGCCGCCAGCAACCAAGCCAAGCGAGCCAAGTCCAAGTCAGGCAGCGAAGCCTAGCGAACCCACCGAACCAACTGTGCCCACCACCCAGCCTGGAAAACCACCTGTTCCTCCCAGCGCATCCCAGCCTTTGCGGCCCAAGGAGCCGAAGGAGCCAGGCACACCAGGCACTCCGATGTCCATTGGAGGCACCAGCAATTCGGCGGCCTGCGATTCCTGTGCCGCCGACATGGCCAACAAAGCTCTGCAGGAGGCTCTTACTGAAGCTGCAGCTGAAGCTGCAGCTAGTCAGCCGGATGTGGGGGCACAGCAAACAACCACCCAGGTGACTCAGGTGGCGCAAGCGAGCCAGCAAGATGGGCGGAAGGGCGCAACTTCAGCAGTGCAGCGACAAGACACAGCCAGCTGTCATGACAATGAGACGTTGATCGGAGCTGGTGCAGAGCTGGCCAAAGGCTTGGTGACTCATGCCATGGAAGATGCGGTGGCTGCTGAAGGTACAGCCTCTGATGTTCACACCCTTGAAGCTGAAGCCACCAGTGTGCACCCTGTTGGGCCATTGATGAAGCCGGGTGCTCCGGATACAGAGGTAGGATCCCGAACACCTGTTTCAGTGGGTGGTGCATCTTTGTCTCAGGCCTGTGACGCTTATGCGTTGGCTGTGGCCAGCACTTCTGTTGATAAGGTGTTGGCGCGAATGCAAGCATCTCCTGAGGTGCAAAGCAGCCCCTGGGAGACTCAGCCCCAGCCCAGTCAGGGTCCAGGTCAGCCTGGTCAGGGCGTTGTGAAGCAACCGCAGCAACCACAGCAGCCTCAGCAGCCTCAGCAGCCTCAAACTGAGACTACACAGATTCAACAGAATGTTCAACAGAATCAGACCCCATCGCCACCATTGCCAGCCACAGGGCCCACCCTGGAAAGACGAGACACCGGGAGTGTGGTCACTGAGTCCGTTGCCATCGGACAGATCGATCTTGCACACCTGGTTTCCAGTGCGGTGACTGAAGCTTGTCGTGAAGCAAATCTCAGCATCATCGCATCGGTGAATTCTGACCAAGAGGTGGATGAAGCTGGCCCTGAGCAAGTGGTGCGACAGGCCGTGGAAGAAGCTTTGCGGATTGAGATCTCGCAAAGAGTATCAGAAATACAAACAAAAGAGAACAATAAGGATGGTCCAGGCGTCTCAGCTGCAGAATCACAATCAATACTGACTACAGCTGTTAGATGCTATGTGTGTCTGCGCGCGCACCCGCGCACACAGACACATACGTAATACAATATGTATCAACATGTTACATTTATTTATATAGTATTACATACATACATACATACATGCATGCATGCATGCATGCATACATACATACGTACATACATACATACATACATATATATATATATACAGGACGTCCTGGTCGTGTTTTAACCATTATCCAGCACAACGTCGTGGTTTTACCAGAATCCATGCTTACATTGTGATCTAAGGCATAACTCATCATTTCATGATGCTGGCTGCTATTCCAAAGTTATTGATGCTCTGAAAGATATCACCTTTAGCTGAATTTAGCACACATGTGTGGAAGCTGGTGGTTTTAGCAGCCGTGATCACACCGTGAGACAACCGTGAGACACCGTGAGACCCCCCCGAACGTCGTGATTTTGTGTATTGGCGTCAAGGCTTTACCGTGAGCCAACCGTGAGCCAACCGTGAGCCAACAGTGACTAATGGCTACCCTGTGTGTGTCTGGTGGTATAGACACGAGAATGATGATGGTGAAGCATACACTTTACTTGATCAACATGTGTTTAGTTTCGATTCATGAACATGAGAATGATGATGATAAAATCTATACCTTAATTTGGCGATGTATGCACGTCGTGGTCTTACCGTGTCTTTCGTGTACCTCGTGGTTTAACTATGTCTTTCGAAGTCCTGGGATATATTATATATATACACCCGTATCCTCTTTCGTCACTTCAATTTAAATAGACTGGCGGTTCGAGCATTTTTGTAAAACGCGTACTTAAATTGAAAATCAGTGGCTTGGATGTTGATTCGAGCGTTTTCTGGAAATTCGAGCGTTTCTTCGATTTGACCCAGTTTAGAGCCTTTTGAGCTCTGGGAGTGGTGTGGTTTGCACATCATCCCCTGCCTTTCTTTTGGGGTGCCCCTTGGATCAACTGTGTTGTGTGTTTGTGATTGTTTGTGTTGGGATTCTCTGAGCCAGCAAGCTCGGAGTCCAAAATGAGCGTTTTTTTGTTTTTTCCCTGTTTTTTTTGGTTGTGGCATGTATATACGTAGCCAGCAAAAATGCGCAACATGCGCGCAAACATGCACAAAATTGCGCAAACGAATGCAAATTAAGAATAGATAAGTTTACGAAATGGGGTCCAAACATAATTCCGAAAACAATCCTTTTTTCGAATTCGGTCCTCCGAATTTCCGAAATATTGTTGGTTCAAGCATCTCAGACTTCGTAAATGGCTGCTCATCTTACTGGCGATAAGATGTTGGGATGGAGGACCCCTAATTTGCCAAATAAATCCAAATAAATTCTCAAGTAAACAAGACAACCCCATTTGCCACGAACGTTTTTTCAAAAACGTCCTGATTTTGCTGGCATGGACCCAAACCCCAAATTCGAACCTATTTTGCGTACTTTCCTCGCGCGCAGAAATTTAGGTATCAATGGGAGAACCAGGTATATACACATACCAGTAGTACCGCCTTGTGCGGTGACGGAAGTTTCAAAAATAGGAAACCTATAGGAGAGGTTGGTTGTTGTGAATCAGGGATGGCAGAGCGAAGCCACTGATGGACTGAAAGGTGCTTGAGGTCTCCTCTCTTTCTCTCTCTCTTTCTCTCTTTTTCTCTCTGTTTCTCTATCTTTCTCTGATTATCTACCTACCTACCTACTGATCTATGTGTCTACCTATCTATCTGTCTATCTGTCTGTCTGTCTGTCTGTCTA